ACTGGTTGGTAGCGCTCACATAAAAACGTAATAAAAAATATGAAAGTTTATGTGTTAATTAGCATCTGATTCATTTTGCGTTTACGGATTCGATAAAGCTGAGAACATTACTTATTTTGTAGAGTCAGTTAAGCGTGAAGACTATCGGAATTAGATTGATGTAATGTAGAAATTGTTAATAAAAAATTAAAATTATTGATTTTACACGCAATACTTATATAGTGTCGATGTATCATTTCGAACTTGCTAGTTTGTGTGAACGAGTAATTAAAAATTGGAACATAAAATATTTTATAATTAATAATAGATATATTTAAAAATGTTTAAAAAATGTTTAAAAAATAATTTTTTATGCTTTGAGAGAGCAGTAATTTGGTACTACGATTTTTTCGACTATGATCATGTAAAGTTTTTTGCATCAATCGATGCAGCAGGTAATTCTTTAAAAACTGTTAACCTATTTGCGAAAAAAACTCATAAAAATAAAAAGAGAGTTGCAGTTGAGACATTTTTTAAGTTGCAAATAGTTTTGAAAATAATTTTATTTATAAATTAAAATGAAACATTCTGCCGTAGATAAAAGTACTAATCTAATCATATAAAAGTTGACACGAATATAATTTTACTTACAGGAACCATAAGCCACTAGTTTTCCCACAATTTCGTTGTCAGTCCAGTTAGGGTGTTGTTCTTTGACCTGCCTTATTTTCCTAGCTTTTGCGCCAAGGAGTGCAACCAAAGTAGCTTCGCTCGCAGTTCCCTATAAATCGAAATTAATCCGTGATTATAATTTGCATGCAACAATACATTTTTAAGTTATACAACAAAGTATTTATTTTATTTTCATAATATACCATGTCAAAGACGTCAGTCAGGGTTGTAATTAAAGACTTAAAGCATTAAATTACATTTTTTAAATATTCTCAGTACTTATTATAAAATGGCTCAGAAAAGTATAAATTTAAACGAATATATACAGTATGTCAAATGTATTTTGCAGTGCAAATAATTTGCCAAATTCTGAATTTACAGTTCTAGTATAAGAATGTTTATCTATTTATTTCATTCTTTTTATATTAGGCTTTTAAACTAATATTACACATTCAATTGCACATATTATGAATGAAAATAATATAGTAGCTACAATTATAAATATTTTCTTGCTTTCATGTAACAAAGGGAAGGAATGCTAAGTTGTAATTAAGTTTAAATGTACCTGAATTACACCGCCACCTTTGCCACCACTGCAGGCTAAAAATTCTTTGGGCAAATCTAACATTTTTCCCAGCCAGTCCAACATAATTACTTCTAGTTCCGTGCACGCAGGACTCGCCATCTGTATATGAAAATTAAGTAGTCACATCCTAAATTAATGGTATAAAAAATATAATTTTTTATCTTCAAAACTGTAACGATATTCGTTTCTACAATAAAACCAATAATATATTTTATTACATAAAATACATACATTATATAAAGCTTTATTAGTAAATTTCAATTATAAAATTATGAGAAAGTATAATCAATAATAAATTGAGGTATTTTATATAAAATCAAGTTCAGTTGTATCCCTTGAAATAGTAATCTATTGAACTAACACTTGTGATCGATTCTTACCCACGTGAATCCAATACAAGCAATAGCGCCACTCAGCATATCAGCAACAATTGCTGGATAGGATTGAGCTGTAGGAAAGTATGCGTGAAATTTCGGACTGTGCCAATGAGTGACCTAAAAAAAGAATACTTTTACTACTCACAACAATTTTTCTGTTAGTTGAAGAAATAAATTTGAAATGGTCAAGTTATAGCAACAATGTAATTACAAATTCATGTATAAAACATTATTTTCCGTTTCGTTGTGACCTCAGAAATAATCTTTTCTTAATAAAGAATCTTATAATCGCAATTATCAAAACTAACAATATTTTCCATGTTTAGAAATTCACTAATGAAAAATTAATTATATCAGTTTGAATATAACTTGTAGAAGTATCTAACGAAATTTAATAATAAAATCAACATTAAAAATGAATGTTTGAGAATAATTTTTTTAAAATTAAGTTATATTATACATTGCAACGTCATACGTTTAGAAAGATATTTTCAAATATGTATACTTACACCTGGCATTATTATTCTTTCGATATCCGCCATGATATCTTTCCAACTTTCTGGAGATTGTGGAGCTTCTGATGGCAAGAGAGGTTTCATGTAACCGGGCTCTACTGTTGGTAATACTCTCCTACGATTAACATTTATACTTGTTCAAAGAAGTTTGTAATTACATAACGTTTGATATTTTAAAAAAAAAGAATGTATTTGCGACACTTAACTATGGTACAAAATTGTAGTGTTGTAAAATTTTTTAATTTCCGAGATAGAATACATAGTGTCAAATAGGAACTTCAACGTAGTGTATGTATAATAAATTGTGAAGGACAGTAAAACAGGATGCATGAATACGAAAGTAATAAAAAAAATTTACCTGTCCCTGATATTCTCCAGATAGTTAGTAATGTATTCCGTCATTTCCTTGGCAAAATCCTTGAAACTGTTGGGATCCATTTTGCGTTTCCTATAAGGATTTAGTAGTTTCTTAATTAATATTCAATTTCCCTGCAGACTTACGCAATACCACCGAGTAATATTTTATGCCAGTGTACATTAGAATGAAAATACAATCGCTTATCTTTTATCTAAGCAGTCTGCAATCATCAATAGCAGATTGCAACGTAAAAAAATGGAACGTAACGCGTAATGTATACGTATTTATTCTAATACACTGTTTACGATATCGAAGTGTATATTACAATAACAATATAATAACATATATTACAAATACGTACTCAATTTAAAAAAAATGGAAATAATGATTAGTATTCTAATGTAGGTGTATTATTAAAAAATAAAAAATTCATCGTTTGTCGATTATAATATTTATATAAGTATACTAACTAGCTTAATTTTATATTGAAAGCTTTGATTTAATTTTCTACAGCTTGATTGTAGTTCAGAGCCATTATGGAATTCATTCATCCGGGTTAGTTCACTTTAAATGATTTAACGACTCCACACAGTCATAATTTGACGCCTGGTTGAATGTACACGTGTATCCTGTTTGATGATTGTTAATTATTCCACATTCTATAAAATCATACTTATATTATTAATGTTTCTATTAAATTTTTATTGTTGAAGATATAAGTATTTTAAGTAACTGAATAATTTAAAACAGAAATTTAAAATTGAAAAAATTATGGAATAATAAAATATCATAGATATACTCATAAAATTTAAGAATATGTAATTGAATGGTTTTATTATAAATGTGAAGAATGATATTTTCTTTTATTATAATATATAAGATATAACAGTGATTTAAATTTCATAAAAATGTAATAAACTATTTATTTGACCTACATATTTCTCTGATCTCAACTTTCTTTTAAATTCAAATGTTTCTAGGGACTTATTGTTTTCTTTACATAAAAGTTGTAGTTACTATAAGACACTTATTTATTAATTCAATTTTAGTAATATTAAATGCATAATAATAATACTTCGTTACTTTAGGATAATATAGGTGCAGAAAATTATTCAGTTTCTTGAGTTTCTTTATAAAAAAAAATACTTAAAATTAAATTTCATACACAAGAAAAGCAATTCTCATTTCTGCATGGAAGGTGATTATCTAATCCAGATAAAAAATTTCCTAACAAGATATAACCCTAACTGTGCTGATTATCAACGCTCGTTTATCAAATACTTGTATCAGCGAACTTTTGTACAACTGTAGAAATACAAAATAAATATCTAATCGTAAAAGAGATCGATTGTAATTCATATAAAGAAAAATTTTTCTAAAAACGAAATGTTTTTGTAGGTATTGACATATTGGACACTGCTTTCTCAACAATTGTTTTTCATGTATCCATTCATTCATTAATATATATTAGTGTCTTTATTTGTACAACAATGATATTTTTATCGTAATTCTTTTCCTGTTTTTAATCTTTATTTCTAACAAAATAGTAAGATATTAAATTTCATATTAATATACTACAAATTCCGTATATTTATGATGATATCACGGATACAGACTTCATTAAATTTCCATTAAATTTTCAATTAAACACTTTCTTAAAAACAGTGGTATAATAACTATTTTTATACGACAGTTTTTAAACATATGTACATAAACGTTCACAATTTATTATTACATTTTATCTTTTAAACATTTGCCAATATATTCAATGTATCGATACATAAGTTTTAACAAAATTTATAACCGTTATTACCAATAGCCATACCTTTACTAATCAGAGTCGCTAATACTACATGAAAAACAATGTTTACATAATTCTATCTACACGAAAGTCCGCAATTTACCTATAATTCTTTTTAGTAAGTGCAACATCGTGAAAAAAAATTACAAGGCAAGATACTATAGACTAATATGTAGTAAATCACGCCAAAGAACGAACAAAACAACTACAAAATTCTTAAACCGGCGCGTACCATTCCCTGAGTTTTGACGTTTGAATATCGCTGAGAATGTTCTATATGTATATACGTTGCAATAATTGACAAGACTATTCACTCCTCTTGATGTGGGTCTTGAGAATCGAGGTAGGAGGCAGCCACACGTGTCTCTTTGTTGGATCAGCAGAAAAAGAAGGAGGGATTTGATCCGTACATAATGATCTGTACTGTAGATTCTACAGTTTCTATCGTAAGTCGAGGCAAGTTAACTTGCGCAGGAATAATGACCATGACTCATTTTTGTTATGCTGGTTTCGTTCAACTCCTTTCCCCTTGGCGATTTGTCAGAGGCAAGGCTGTCCTCCGACAAGCGCAGGGAATTCGATCACATTAACTGATTTTTACTGCTAGATTTCTACTACTTACACGATATTTCATCGTGCGAAAGAAACAAATATAAATACACACACTACTCGTGAAAAATATGAAAATGTAAGAATGGTGAGGACGATTAAACTGAGATATACATTTTGAATTTTTTGAATATTTTTCTATAATTATTGGATAGAATTACTGAAAAATAACGGCAAATAAGAAAACGAAAATAAGAAACACTAGAATACTTATTGGTATTTACATACAGTAGTGAGCATGTGTAATGATACCACTAATTTAAATTGTGCAGCATAAATTATTTTAAATTATATAACGTACATGAAATAAAAATATGGTGCATTGAATAACTATATTAATTTATAAAAGTAATTATTACAACAGTTTCGAATTTAATATTGAGGTACTTTAATATTATATGACTTAGTACTGTAAATAAATTTATTAATTTTGTTTTACTATGAATTTTTCTTAAATATGTACTATTAACATTATA